AATTTAATAACATGTATCCCCTATTTTCCTTTATTTCTATCTATTATATATATTATCAATTTAATTATGTATATAATCAATTTATACAACATAATTATACACTAGGTTTTACTTCAAATTCATACAGTATATGGTAATAAAATCCTATTCAGAAAAATAATTATGAAGAGATATTTATGAAACTTTTTAGATTGTTATGATGGTCGTAAAAAGAATCATTACTTTATCATGAAGCCATTTTATTCTAAATCCATACAGATTTTCACAATATTTTTTTTTTAAATTTCTAATGTATTGGCCAATTAAAATAAATTAATTAATAGAAAGACTATTAAATTATCATGCTTTCAATAAATTTAATATTTATGTAAAAATATGTTTGTTGTAAAGAATTTGAAAAACATGAAAAACAAATAAATTGGCATTCTAAATTTGGTTTTGATCAATATTTTAATTCATCATTCTGACTTTAAATTCTAAATATGATAATATCTAAATGTTGCTGAACTAACTAGGGTTTGATAACATAAAATAATTTTCCCACTTATAATAATAATTGAAACATTAAGTAACTTAATTGAGTTTCAATTTAGTTTAGCAAAGGTTTTTATATCAAAAAAAACTCTATAAAGAAAGATTAATCACTTCAAATAAAATATAGAATAATTTTATATATATAATGTGAATGCAATAATAAAGCATTTATTATATATATTTATATTCTTAAATTTTCACCCCATCTTAATATTTACCAACATACATGGGTTATTCTGAATTGTTTTCATACAAATTCATCCATTTTTCAATCTATATTTCATTCCTGTTATGCGGGTGAGGTGTAAAGAATGCATTCCATCTACCGCTTTTAATTCCATTTGAATATTATCCTTCATAAATAACTTAAAATTTCCTATAAATTTTATCATACTCTATTCTCCCAAAATGTTTCAGAAGGTACTGCCCATTATCCTATTTTCATTCCTATTTCATTATAAGTTCCTCTACTTCTAAAAGGATCATGAATTTTTCATAGAAGAAGCAAATAAATATACAAGTAATCATTCCCAAATAAAACTCACAATCCTTTTTAAAAAAGTGTTCCACAATTAATAATTATTATTTTAATAAAATAATTTGAATTGTATTATTTTCAATATGAACAAATTTTTTTTACAAATCACATTCTTTAGAAGAAAAATTCCAAAAAGAATAACACTGAAAAAACTTGAAATCCTCTGGGATTATCCTTTTATAGAACCTAGAAAAAGAAGAACAAATTTCAAGTAAAAAAAACAAATCCAATTATATCAACATGACTTATTTATAAGAATGTATTGTTCTATATGATATAAATTTATTAGTGATTAATATCACTATATCTCTGATAAACCCTAACAAAATCAATATTTTAGAATAAATTTACATTAGTAATGATTTGAAAATAAGGGTAAAATAATTAAAATTGGAAAATGGACATCAAAAAAAGTAAATGGAGAGTATATTTATAATATAAATATTTTTTCAATAAATTGATAACCAGAAGTTGATTATTATAGAAACTAGAAATTTATTCGAATTATTAACAGGTGATTATTAAATTATTTTGGATTCTTTTAATCATTCTAAAATAACATATTAATTAATTAAGATTTCTGAAAATTAAATTTTTTATTTCATAAACATTTTTAATTATAAAAATTGATTAAAAATAGTTTTCTAATAAATGATTTTTTACTTTAAATGGGCAGTTCTGGAATTAGTTTCTTTTAATAAAATTTTCTATCTTATCTAAAATATTTTGAAGATTTTCAATAATATTTGCTTTTAATAGTATTATGATTAATTTAAATCCAAAAACTCCGAATTAAATTCCTTATAATAAACTATTTGTTTTAAAATACATAGAAAAAGAAGAAATAACAAATAAATTCAAAAAATAATTATAAAAAAATCCATAATTAAACTTAAATAGAATCATTAAAATTAGAAATCTTAAACCTTAAATTGATTTAAAAATTTTAACTCTTTTAATTATTGGGTTTATGTAAAATAATTGATTAATCAATATACTTTTTGTTTCATTATTTTGTCACATTCATTTTTTTTATTTCTTTTCATTTCTACCCATAAGCCAATTTTTTTCCCATTTTTATATTCGCCTTAATGAATTAAATATTATTATCTAAATCCAACACCATAATTATCATCCAAATCAATCCATTTCCTAATCTTAATTCCCTCATAATATGATCCGCCACCACTGTTGCCACTTTATATAAAATAGATTACATTTATGTTCCTTCATATTTAATCTACCAAATTCCATTTTTTTTACCATTAAGATATTCACCATAATAAACTATTTTTTTATAATTTTCTAATCCATCATCTAATTCAATCCACATACCAATTTTAATATCACCAGCTCCTTCACCATATGAACCACCACCACTTTTAAAACTTCATATAATATTATTTACATTATTTTGAAGTCACATGAATTATACTATCTATACTGAGTATCCCATCTACCAAATTTCTTACCATCATTATACACACCATTATAAATTAATTATTTAGAATATTAAAAGTCTACATCCAATTCAATCCACTTGCCAATCTTAAATCCGTTACCTTCTTCATCATATGAACCACCCCCACTGTTAACACATTAAATAATATTTTTACATTTTAAATCTTTTAAACTCAAAATCCCATCTACCGATTTTTTTTCCATTTTTAAATTCACCAACACTTATACAATCACTATAAATGCCAAAATAAATATAAATACCCTTTACTTTCATAAATCAATTAACCATTTGCATCATAGTTTTAACTAACACTAAGAATTTAATTATAACTTTTATACATTATTGATTATTTGTCCATTGTTTTCCATAAACCAATTTTTTTTCCATTATCATATTCACCAATGTAAATTAACTATTTAAAAAAATTAAACTCCACATCGAAATCAATCCACTTGCCAATCTTAACTTCATTACCTTTTTCATCATATGAACCACCACCGCTGCTTTCACTTTATATAATATAGTTTACATTATTTTATATTCTTTAACATTACTTAAGTTACGCTTTTCTAGCGTATTACCCATATTTTAACTATCATTATATTAATTATTAGGAATTTTTTAATTAGAATATAAAAATATTTCTTCCATTTCTTTCAACCAGCCAATTTTCATTGTCTTAGCTAATTTAACATCTGAATCCCAATCATTATTGCTACTTTTTAATTAAATAGTTTTGAAGTCTTATTAATTATACTACCTATACTGAATTTCCCATCTACCAACTTTTTTACCATTTTTATATAACCCATTATGAATTACCTATTTTTCATAACAAAATTTTTCATCCAAATCAACCCATTAGCCAATCTTAATTCCATAGCCTTCTTTATCATAACATCCCCAAGAACTATCACAACTTTAATATATAATTACATTATTTTGAACTCATTATCATTATACTCCCTATACTTAGTATCCCATCTACCTACTTTTTTTCCATTTTCATATAAACCTTTATGAATTACCTATTTTTAATTGTCAAATCCTTGATCCAAATCAAGCCATTAGCCAATCTTAACTTCACAACCTTTTTCGTCATACAATCCCCCAGCACTATTATAATCAATGTATCAAAAAAAGATACATCTAACATCCTTAAAACTATATCTCCCATCTTCCCACTTTTTTATCATATTTATATTCACCCTAGTAACTTAATTGATTGTTCCAATTAAATTTTTCATCCAACTCAATCCATTTGCCATTTTTAGCTCCACTACCTCCTTCATCATATAATCCCCCACCACTATAACAACGTTTTATCATATTTATTACATTTAAGATCTTTCATACATAATTTCCCATCTACCAACTTTTTTCTCATTTTTATAAAAACCAATATGAACTACCTTTTTTTCATAAGAAAATTCTTCATCCAACTCAGTCCATTTGCCAATCTTAATTTCTTAGCCTTCTTCATCATATGATCCACCACCACTTATATTATTACAAATTATATTTTTACATCAACGATCCTTAGTATTCAATTTCCCATTTACTAACTTTTTTTCCATTTTTATATGCACCTTAAAACATTACTTAAAACCTATCCCAAAATTCTTCCCATAATTCAATCCATTGGCCATGTCTTTCACCAAATTAATTATATTCACCACCGCCTCTATAAAAAATTAATTATTAAAAGCCATACATCACTTTACAATTATACATTAATTTCCATCTACCTTTCCTTAATCCATCTTCATATTTTCCAATTTCATAAACTTGTGCTTTTGTATAATTTAAGGAATAATACCTTTTGACCAAAAATTAATATTTAATTCTTTCCATTAACCATTTTTTTTCCTTTTTCTGAATACTCTCCACCTATGTCTTTTATTTGATTACCCTTCCAGTAAGCATTCCATACTCCAACCTTCTATTTTTCTTTTCCGTATTATCCAGTCCATTATAAATTTTGTAATTATTCTAAGTTAGTAAAAATTTCTATCTTCTATGATGGATCATAAATTTTCTCACTAAATTAAAATTTATATCAATAAACTCTTACCTTCTTATTATTGATCCATCTCTTATATATTAGATTTCTTAGTCTTGAGTGTATTTTATTTGGATTTTAGTATAGATTAATCTTTGACGCAAGTTATTCCAAGCTTTTACATTTTATTCAAAATTTCCTTAATTCATCTATTAATCATTTATATTTTGATTTATCTCAGATCTAAAATATAAGAATTCTTACTTTTTATTAGGTTATACATCTTCTTTATTTTACCTTCCTTATTACATGAACAAAGACTATTAATAAAATTAAAAATTTTATTAAAATTATTCTATTAAGTATTATACAATTTATCTTAATAATTCCAGGATTTTCTTTTGCTAATCATGGCTTTACAAAGCAGTAGAGAATATTTTTTTATTTTTAAAAGCTTTTTTTCTGATAAGTAATATTGAAAAAAAATTGGTAGAATATTTTTAATATTGATCAATATTATTATGGTTTATTAAATAAATTATGATTGAATATTATAATAATTCCTTCCTTTAATTATTTTTCAATATACCTTGATTCTCTATACTTGCTTAAGTAGTAATTCTATATTCTCTAAGATTGCATTCTCGTACTCATTTACGTTCCCTAAACTTCAGCATATTATCCACTTTTTTTCAGAAAAAATTGAATAACAGCAAAAATACTATTAAAAGAACACTTCTAGGGATCCATTTTTGAAGTTGAAAATTGTAATTTATAAATGAAAGCTTATCTACTTCATAATTATTGAGAATTTCTTGTTGAAACTTATATTATATAAAGAATCAAATAATTTGATTTCAAAGTTATAATTTCGAAACGAAAATCTATTACTATTTATAATAATTATGATAAAACTATGAAATTTAGTTCTCTAGATATGAATGATATAATTCGATTTCTTAAAATTAACTCAATTATGCTTTATTATACTATTTATATGAATTGGTTTCACTAAGCTCTCATTCTCTTGATATTATCCTAATTAATCTGTCATTAGTTGATCAGAAATATGTCATTAAAATGGAGATTATTAATATTTTTTTGCATATCAACTACAGAATATGTATAAATTGTATAGAGTTTTATTTATTAGGACTTATTTAATTAAGCTAAATTGAAAAAATTATGGAATGTAATAAAAATTAAATTTAATCATGTAGAGAAAAATGATTCTTATAGTTTAATAATTAACAAGTAATTCAAAATTAAATAAATATGAAACCAATAATATAATATAATAGACTAAAATGTATTAATTTGATAATATTAATTGAGGTGATAACTTAAATGAAATATTATTATTACTAATTCTTGAATATTAAGTTTTAGAAAAATGAGTATGAGATATTAATCCAAATTTATTTATTATATAATTGTATTGGCATAAATTATTGATTTACTAATTTAATAATGTATAATTATATTGAAATATCCCATCAAAAGAGAATTTGTCTCTATCAAGAAAAGCATAGGATAAATGATCTTGAATTCAATCATAAATCTGACCTATATAAGAGATATAGTATTATAGAATTTATAATGTCCTCTTGATTTTAGTAATAATAGCAAAAATATTAAGTATTATATATCTTATATTTTAATTCTATTAGATTTGTGGATTTGAAAATCTAAATCTCTAATTTTACCCAATATTTATTAATTAATAACTAATATAATAAAAATATCAACATAAACATAAATAATAATATTATTCAATAATAATTTACAATCAAATTTATTTGAGGTGAATTATCACTTAAGCTTTTTCGTTTCCAATAGAGACCTACTTGAGAAAATGATTTGAATAATTGAAGCATAACAAGTGGACACTCGTACAATATATTGACTTATTTTACTAAATTAATTACTTAGAAAAACCTTGTTATATCGATATTAAAAGGTTTATAAAAATGATCTTGGATTTTCAGAAACATATTTATTAAACATATATCCAAGATTATCCCTTTATATTAATCAATGAAGCATGTTATTGATTAAATTAATAAATAAGTCGATAAGGTGGTTGAAACATAAATATAGAATAATAATTGATATAAATATAACATTATTAAATGGGTTTATTCAAATGAAAAGAAACATGCATTTATTTGATTAATTTTAATAGAATAAAGTAGACAATTTAAATTGATATTATGAAGCAACTGAAATTTTTCAGATAGCTATAAATTAATCATAAAATTGATATGGCATAGACTAGTAAGAGTACTTAAATTTATTAAACATTATAATTTAGATTATGTATTATGAATTCACTTAATTACTTAAGGATTTTAATATTTTTAAGTCGACATATAAAGAGGCAATTAAATATTGTAATAAAAATGAAATATAACATAATAAAATCATTTTTTTTCATTAATTCTATATTTATTTTTACCTAAAGATAAATACTGATATTAAATGACTTTAGGTAAGCTTGAATATATTTCAACAGGAAAAACATGGTCTTCTTATTTAAAATTGATATAAAAGATTCATTTGTTTTTGGTAGTCAAAAAGTACTTGGTTAAGAATTTCTAAACTTCTTTGCGCTGATTTGAGTAATATAATTTTATCTTCATTATCTTATAATAAGAAGGTTTGTTTAATGTTTTATCAATATAGTTTGTGTTGACAATAAATCAAGTATTTTTTTTAATCTTCTAATTTCTACTTTAATTATGTCAATGAATAAACGGAACATTAAATGATATAAAAATTGTAATATTTTGCTGCCTTAATTGAAGTAAAACTAGTATTAAACTTGATAAGTATTAATCCTAAATTTTTAGGTATATTTTTGTGAGATTGATAAATTTAATAAGATAATGTTATGTTACTTTTAGGTTTCAACATTTTCAAAGAAAATAAACGGAAATTGATTTTCCTTTGAATTAGAAGATAGCCTGTTTTTTAATAGATGAGAAAAATTAACTTATCTTTAATGGACTTTAATCTTTTTTAAACCACACGGATGTTTAATTTATTTCAAAGAAAATTTTAGTGGATCCTTACAAATATAATAGGCTCATAAGCTTATTTGAAGAATTAAGTAATTCTTATTTACAACAAAAGAGAATTGCTTCATTATTCGTTAGGAGTTGAAAGTTAAGTATATCCAATCCTAATGTATTTTATAATCTAAATAAGTAATCTTTTCATATGATTGTGATCATCTTATTCTTTAGATTATATTAATCCTTTTCAGAAATTAAATATATACTTAGATTAATAATGTTTATAAGTTTTGGTATAAAAATTATTCAAAGGAAAACTATAATTATGACTATATTAATAAAATAAAAAACTATTTCTTCAAATTTTAACAAAGATAAAAAAGCTCCAAATTGAAAATAAGTTTGAATAAATCAAATTATATATTACTTATAGATGAATGATTTGTTAATTTTAATTAACACAAACTACTTTTGAATTTTTAAAGTAATATAATTATTAATATTTAGAATTGATTAATGAGATGGTGAGTTTTTCTTCAGATCTAAGTTTGATAACAAAGCTGTATCTTAAAAATACTGAGGTCAATTAGGTCAAAATATTTGTGGTACCAAGGGTTCATCACATACTATACTATGAAGGTTATTCGATTAAATTATTGAACTATTCATATTAAAATCATCCATACATTTAATGAGTTTATGAAGGTTATGGATAATTTTTATAAAACTATAAAAATAAATAGGGATTAAGACTTTGGTAATAACATTATTTATAAACCCATGATATACTTCATTTATTTCTTAAATTTCATCAATTTTATAAATCTAAATCTGTAAATAAAATTAAATATATCTTAGATGTCTATCAGCTTAGTAAGAAAATTTATTACACTCAATAAAATTTGATTTTAAGTAGATTCGAAACAACTTCAATTAAAAATTTAGTAGATACCATTTCAAATTATTATCTTCCTTCATTACTTCTCTTTAATCTTATTGTGTAGCAATTGTTAGTTGATGAAATTTGGGTAATAGAGATTTTGAAAAGTGTCTTCTTTTATTTTTAGTTATTTTACAATATTAGATTATTATAAAATAGAATATTTTAAAAAAGAAGATTAAATATTAACATTTTAATTGTGTACTTATTAGCAATGATAGCATTAAATTATAAATCAATCTGTTTCCATTCTGCTATTTTTATTTCTATTATTAATATTATTAATGATAATATAGGTCTCATTATCATATAATTATTAAGTTTGAGGCTATTCCATTTTCTAATTCTCTTTTAGTGTTTCAGGTTTAGATTTGGATAACTATTGGTTAATATTTTTAAAATTAATATAACATATTCTATATCTTAATTTAACTTAAGCTTAGTAAATTTAAGTTATGAATCTGACTACTTTTTCTGTTTTAATCGAAATATAATTTAAAAACTTGTTTCTTCATTTGGAATTACTTAACCGTTCTCTGGTGTGATTTGAGTAAATTATTATTTCTAAATTATTGAATAGGTAAGATTACTTATGAAATAACAAAAGATTCATCAGAGGAAGTAGATTATACTCCTTATTGAATCGATTAGTCTGACTATTGAAACACACAAGTTCCATAAATATTTCACATCTAATTCCTTTAATAATTTTAGCTTTAAAATCTGATGTATATTATTAGGGATAATTGCCATAGACATAATAGACTAAAAATTTATTTTTTCTTGATATGAGATTCTTGAACAAATTAATAATCGTTTTAAATTTCTCATTCTTATTGTAACAAAAGATATAGCATCTTTAAGTAGACGGTTAAAGGAATTTTTATAATTATAACAACCTATTATGAATAATTAGGATTTTGATCTTTGTTAAATGTTCCTGTTGATTTGGAATTCGCTGATGTACTTAAAATTTATTTTATAAATATATAAATAAAAATTTAATAAAATAGCTTTAAAGCCTTCAGGCTCAGGATCATGACGGAGAGTAACTTCAGTGATACATCAAACAAATCCTTTTAATTGTTTAAAATAACCTTAATTTTCATCTTTTTCTTACATTAAGACTTTCTGATTACAATTCGAATTGTGTAGCAAATTTTTGAATAACATCAAATCAATATTCTTTAAGCCTATAATCTTATTATTTACTTCATCATTAATTTAAGCCTTTTTTTTTTCTTATAAAATCAATCTACAAATGCTGAAAATTTTTTAATATACAAAATAAATAAATGTCATACGTATTCTAAATAGGCCATAATGATTGCTATTTCTGTTATATCGTAGAAAATTCTTTCAAAATGAAAAGGAATCTCATCTATCTTGAATAAATCAATGCCTTTTTCTCCAATATATTTAATATTTTGGCACAAATAATAATAAATAACTGGTTTGGACATTTAAGTCTTGATAAATTACCAATAACTTTTCATTTGTTGAACATAGAGCCTACCAATTAATCAGGATTAAATTTTGTCTTATAATTAAGATTATTAACCTCTAATAATATTTTCTTCTACTCTAAATTTCGGCTCGCTTTGTAATTATTATTATTATTATTATTATTATTATTATTATTAATTATATTATTCAAAAGTCCATTTTCTAGTTATCCTATAGAATAAATAGAAAATGGACTTTTGAATTGAAGGAGATTACAAAATATATGGAGATATATCATTTATTTTAATCATTGAAAGATTTGCATCTTTAATCA